GCTTAGCTGCTATTGTTGTTAGGTGCTGTGGAGTCGGTTCCATCCCATAGCAACCCAATGCATAACAGAACAAATCTAAACATTGCCTGGTTGGTCCTTCTGCATCCTCACAAAGGGTAACATAATCCAAATCTACTGCATCTGTTAATGCTGTTATGTGGCGTCAAGTTGCCTGTGACCCTATGTACAGCAGCTCTAAACCCTGCCCTGTCCGGAGCCAGTCTCACTAATTCTGACATACCTACCCCCATTGCCCCAGTTACTGTATCAATCCATGTCACCCAGGGTCTTCCTCTCCTGTGCTGTCCCTCCACCCTTCTGAGCATGATGTCCTCCTTCAAGGACCTGTACCTTCTGGCCATGTGCTCAAAGTACGAGAGACAGAGCTTCAAAATCCTAGCCTCCAAGAAGAAACTCAGTTTCACCAAGATAGACTTATTTGTTTTCTTGGCAGTCCATGGTATATTCAAGACTTTTCCAGCACCTGGACAAAATAAAATGCATTTCTCCCCAGTGGCTAACACAAGGTCTGGCACAGGATCTAAGTTTGGGGTTTTTTTTTTTCATATAATTAATAATATCCTCTATTTTACAGTCTAAGAACATAGTTTTGAAATCAAGCTAGTTTGATTCCCCACCCCATCTTCCTTATTACCATGTGGCCTCAGGCTAAATACTTCATTATCCTGAGCTTCAGGTTCCACTCAAAGCAGAAGTTCATAATGTCTATAAAGATACTAGCAGAGGAGTGTTGCAGACCAGGGGCAAAGTATTTTTATAAGTATCAATAATGAGACAGAACACCAGGAATGTAGGAGATAAACAGAGGTAAAGCAGGAGGCAAACGGTTCTCGAACCACTGAAGAGAACTGCCTGCCGATTCCAGCTTTCCTGTCTTTTATTGAAAATTGCCAGGAAGTAAAACACAAAGAGAATCCAATACAGGTGAAGCAAAGCAATGCAAAAATCCTGTAAACACTTAAGGATTGCCTTAGTGCTTTAGGATTCATTCCAGCTGATATCAGCCTCCCTCAAATCTGAAGTAGTATCCTGTTTATTACAAATATTTAATGTAAAATTTGGCTTCCCATAGAGGAGGGACTTAACACACAACAGCTCTTGCCCCTCTCATTCTTATCTCAACTAGTGCTCTGTAACCTTGCCTTCTTTTCAGCCTTGGCAGAGAAACTAATACATTCAAATAGTGATGCTGGCAAAGACTATTTAACTTTGAGGAGAATAAACAAATCAGGCTTAGTAGAAGAAATGCAACCAGATCTCTCCACTCCCTAGAAACAAGGAGAGTAAGACTTCAGTTCTTTTATTTGGGGCACTTATCAGGGAAGGTCACTCAGTAGAAATGAACACCACACTTGGAAAAGTAGAGGGTTAGTGAAAATAAGGAACACCCTGGACCAAAGCATATCAATTATCATAAAGACAGTGCAGGACTGGGTAATCATTTGTTCTGAGAAATAAGTCTATGAGTTGGAGCCAACTCAAGGACAGCTAACAACTTTTTTGGTTGGGTATCAGTTTGCTTGGCTCCACGGTCAACACTCTTGGCACCAGCAGCCAGGAAATCAAAAATATATTGTGATGGGAAAATCTGCTGTTAGGGACCTCTCTAAAGTACTCAAGAGCAACGGTGTCTCTCTGGAGACTAAGGTGCGCCTGATACAGACCATGGTCTTTGCAATCACTTGCTATGCATCAGAGAGTTGGACAATGACTAGGGAGGACAGAAGGAGAATTGATGCCTTTGAGCTGTGGTGCTGGAGAAGAGTATTGAATGTACCATGGACTGCCAAGAAAACAAGCAGATTCATCCTGGAGAGGGTTAAACCAGGCTACTCCTTGGAGGCAAGGATTCTGGGGCTTCATCTGACATACTTTGGACATGTTGTAAGAAGGGGCAGGTCCTTGGAGAGGGACATCATGCTTGGGAGGGTGGAGGGACAGCACAGGAAGGGAAGACCCTCTATAAGGTGGATTGATTCAGTGACTGGGGTAATAGGGATGAGTGTGTCAGAGGCAATGCGATTGGCACAGGATAGATCAGGGTTTTAAGGCTGTTGTACATAGGGTCGCAAACGACTCAACGGCACATAACAACAACAACAACAACAACAACAACAATAGCTATGAGCTAATCCTTATACCCATATGCGCCTTGGCTGAGATTACATCACACATGTTGTTGTTGTTATGTGCCGTCAAGTAACTATGACTCAACTATGAACCTCTGAAGCCTGTCCTGTCCTGAGCTGATGTTACTGCTTCTGATACACCTGCCCTCATTACCACAGTCACTGGGTCAGTCCATCTTATCGAGGGTCTTCCTCTTCTGTGCTGACCCTCTGCTCTTCCAAGCATGATGTTCTTCTCCAAGGACTCGTCCCTCCTGGCAACATGTCCAAAGTATATGAAACAGAATTTAAAAATCCTTGCCTCCAAGGAGAAACCTGTTTTCAGTTTCTCCAGGACATACATGTTGAAGAGGATTTAATTTGTATCTGAATCCTAGCGCAGGCATCAGTAAATGATCTGTGTTTCTGAGACAATCTGTCTATTGAGTTTCAATGTATCTGATATGTTATCGGACTACTTCACATGAAAGTCTCATCTGCACACTTCAGTATTACTCTTTAAGGGGACAGCTGTCCCGTCCTTATGCCAGTCAAGTGATAGCTATGTAGAACAGTAGAGGAGAAACCTCTTGTCATAGTTTAGCACTTTTCATTTCCCCAGGAGCTCTGATGACTTAGTGGAAAAGTGTTGCACTGTCAACCCAAAGGAAGTTGGTTCGAACCCACCAGCTGCTCCACGGGAGAAATTTTCTCTTGTGCAATTTACAGCTTCTGAAACCCCATTGAAAGGTCAGCTATGCGTGCATTCCAATTCAACAGCACAAAACATCATTTTCTCTGTGTTCTTTATGTCACTGAGGACAGGTGCAGGCAGAAGCCTGGAGGATGGCATTGGGGTCCTCTCCACTGAGTACAGCGACCTGAATTTTGCCAGGCCTCTCATCCAGGAATGGCCTTCAGTATTTCAAGTAGCAATTAGAGCAGAGAGGAATTAGAGGACTCCAGGAAATCCTCCTAAAAACCATCAGTGCAGGTGACACCTCAGAGTTCCAAGTCTCCCTTTGTAGGCTGGTGCTAAAGATAGTGGGATAGTGGTAGGAGCCCAGGCTTTGAAGTCAGGGCCTGAGATCTAGTCCAACTTCTTCCTAGCATGCTCCGTGACTGTAAGAAAGTCTTCTAACGTCTCTGGGCCTCTTTTTCCTTGTAGCTACATGAAGGTTCCTTATGGTCCTTTCCAGAATTCAGGTGTCAGCTGTTTCCACACTCAAATTCGTGTCAATCTGTGTTGTTGCTTTATAATATCACAAAATCACGTACAAAAAAAAAAAAGTCTATCTGACTACTGAGGCTTGGATCTGAATTGTCTCATGAGAATTATCCCATGTCCCTACCAGCAAGGCATCACCCTGCCTGCCACCAGATACTAAAGATAAAAGAGGGCAAGACCTGGGGTGGGAAGTCCTTTTGGGACGATGCACAATATCACAAGTAAAAAGAAATAACATTAACAGGTCCCAAGTCCCAATATCTTTCCACATAATCATTTGTAATCAGAGTTGAGGATTGGTTTGATTGAAATAATTCTATGAACAAATTGGGCATTTGGGCCTCAGTCTGTGTTCTATTGCCAAATATAGACACGGAGCTAGTAGCAAACTTTTCTTTAAAAACTATTACATTCAGTGTAATTTAAAATGAAGCTTTATTTTGGAATTTCAACATTCAAGGTTTTTAAAAATAGATCCCATTTATCATGTGGTTATTGGTCAGGGGAGGGGGTGAGTCTCAGGCAGCCAGAGGTCCTTTCTTGGAAAGGGCTCTCCTTTGTGCTGAAACACATCCTTTCTTCCAGCATTCTTGGCTTTAGAATGCCCTTTCTTTTGTAAATTGATAGATGAGTTGGATTTTTAAAAATGTCCTTTCTTGGTCAAATAAATCCCATAGCTTGAATCCTAATTTTTTTAAAAAAACTGCTTTATGAAATTCTAAAATTTCAGTATCCCCTGTGTAGCTTATGTGTGGGATTTAAGATTAAAGCACACTTAGATACTTATTTATCTAAGATACTCAGCTTATGTTCAAAGAAATCAAAGCTCAGAGGGGTTTAGTAATATGACTAACATTACACAGCTGGAGAAAGCCAAAGCTGAGGTTTTCATATGGCCCTTCCAGCCTAGTCTACACTGCATAACTGCCAATCCCTATACCCCATTCTCATGAGGAAGACGGAGCCCCAGGCCCATCTTGAGAAGAACTCCCACCCTAAGGCTTAAGGAGATGAACCAAGAGAAGAAAAACCTTCTATTGATTAAACTACTCTTTCTCTCTCAGAGGGAACGCAGTTAACTTTCAATTTCATGCACTAATGGAGAAGAGGAGGCCCAGGCAGCCTCCCACAGCAGAGGAGAGTGACTGTGTGATTTTTATTAGGCTTGAGAATGGATTTTATTTAATATCTGCATGGCAGATTTAGGGAGTCAATTTTGCTTCTCCTTGAGTAAACATCCACTGGGATGGGGAGGAGATCATCCAGCTATAGAAACAGGGAAGCACATGCATCCCAAGGCAGTCGTTGTCCTGGACAAGATGCACTGCTATGCAGGGCGATGAGAGACACGCTGACCTGGAGTTCAGGGGAGCGTCCTTTACCCAAATGGGTCACGTGGAGATGTGGGCCCAGAGACCCTGACCTCACACAGGACTGACTTGAGTCCTATGACAGGAGTCTCTCTCATGTAATTCTCTGGAGAGTGAAGTGTAGCCCTGGGGCTCTTCCAAGCCGAGTGGATCATCCAGGAAGAATGAGACCTGAGACCTCAGAGGCTCACTGAGGAACAGCAGAGTTGGTGAGCTCTCTGTCATGGGAGAAGGACCAAAGGTGCCAGCCTAGGAGCAGCTCACTGAGGGTTTCTAGAAGCAGAAGACGTTGGGGAAGTATCGGTAGCTGGGGTTATAGCTCCATAGGTTTCTCCTCAGGCAGTAGACAAGCTTCCGGTCACAAGCACAGAGTTGCATCTGGCAGAAGGACCCATGTTCTGCAAATGAGACACAAAATACAGAATGAGGCAGGAAGAGAGAGAATCTACCGGTACTGACAACCAGGCTGGCTTTAGTGTGAGCACTGGCTTCTCATCAGTTAGGCTCCCTGATCTGCTTCTGCCTCCATCCAACAAAGCCCTCAGTCTGAGGAGGAAGATCTGGGGAACTGTGTAATCTGATGGAAGAGGCACAGCTGCTTTCATGTCTGATGGCGGACACACATGTCCTACCATTGAGGGCACTTTGCCTGATGGTGGAGACAGCCTCTTGACCTGGAGGAACTTCACGTCTCAGGGAGGAAGTAACATCCCCAGCCTCAGCTTTGAACTCAGATTAGAACGTGAGCCCAAGCTCTAGCTGCAGACACTGGCAAGTCTCTGAGCTTTCATTTTCACCAGCTGCTCTGCTGAATAAGGACAAGCAATCCTCCCGTGTTATTTACAGCCTCTGAAAACCCACTGGAGCTATAGGCCAGGTCCAACTCTAGGGCAAACAACAGCACAACAATAACTGTGGATTAGGAATGTTAAACCTCTCCTAGGGTGTTCAGGAAGAGTCAATCAAATGAAGGTGCTGCTAGTGAATGCTCAGAGTGAAATGACTCCTGAGCCCTGGCCTGGGAGGTCGTGTTCTGCTGTAGCAACCCTCCCTGCCCCTCGAACCTCAGCCCTGTCCACCACCTTGCCTCAGAATATAGGCTCCAGGGACAGTTGAACTCAAAGCCAGATGAGAGTAGACTCTTCCCAAGCACTGAATGGGAATCCCCATCTTACCACAGGCGACCATGCCTCGTGCAATTCTATACTGGTAAGACTGGGTCCTGATGTTGCAGCTTTTCTCCTCCAGCCGGCCATAGCAGTGGTCATGCACCCAACAACACCTGTTGATGCAAGAGGCTTAGTCCTGGATCATAGGGGCATCCTCTGGAATCCCTTTTCTGTAATGTTGTTGTTGTTGTTGTTATGTCGAGTGGCCTGCGACCCTATGTACAACAGCCCTAAACTCTGCTCTGTCCTGTGCCAATCGCACTGTCTCCGACACTTCCATCCCGATTATCCCAGTCACTGAATCAATCCATCTCATAGAGGGCCTTCCCCTCCTGCGCCGTCCCTCCACCCTCCCAAGCATGATGTCTCTCTCCAAGGACCTGTCTCTCCTCACAAATGTCCAAAGTATGTTAGACGGAGCTTCAGAATCCTTGCCTCAAGGAGCCACCCAGTTTAACCCTTTCGAGGACAAATCTGTTTGTTTTCCTAGCAGACCATGGTACTCTCAATTCTCTTCTCCAGCACCACAGCTCAAAGGCATCAATTCTCCTTCTATCCTCCTTGGTCATTGTCCAACTCTCTGATGCATAACAAGTGATTGTGAAGACCATGGCCTGTATCAGATGCACCTTAGTCTCCAGAGAGACACCATTGCTCTTCAGTACTTTTGAGAGGTCCCTAACAGCAGACTTTCCCATGGCAATGCACCTTATAATTTCCTGGCTACTGGTGCCAAGAGTGTTGACTGTTGAGCCAAGCAAACTAAAGCTGTGAACAATCTCAATCTCTTCACCATCCATCCTGATGCTGCCAATTGGTCCAGTGGTGAGAATCTTTGTCTTCTTGACATTGAGTCTCAATCCATATTGGAGGCTGCATTGACCCCACATTTCTCCTTATAGAGCCCAGCCTCCCGGATAATCTGTTCTGCATATCTCTAATAGGAGATGAAAATTCAACCAAGTCACTTCAACAGATGCCACCTCTGGCAGAGAAAGAATCTAACAGTCAAGCTGGATGCTTTCCTATTTTTTTACTATGGCTGTAGGATACTGATTCACCTTCTCCTTCTGGACTCACAGCTAGGCTACATTTCCCAACCTCTCCTGCAGGTCAGTGCTTGAAGTTCTCTTCGTTTTTTGTAAGCAAGGTTGTGCCATCTGCATAGCACAGGTTGATGATGAGTCTTCCTCTAAAATCTTGATGCCACATTTACCTGCTTGCTGAAACTGAGGAAGACCTGAGGCATTTGCTACAGAAGGTCAAGGATTATAGTCCTTAATACAGATTGAAACTCACCATCAGGAATATAAAGATTCTCACCACTGTACAATTGGCAGCATCGTGGTAGACAGAGAAGAGTTTGAGATTTTAACAATTTCAGCTTGCTCGGTTCCACAATCAACACTCATGACCAACAGTCAGGAAATCAAAAGATGAATTGCTTTGGGAAAATCTGCTGTCAGGGACCTCTCCAAAGTGCTAAAGGCCAATGACATTAGTCTAAAGATTAAGGTGCCCCTGATCCAAGCTGTGGTCTTTGTGATTCCTTACTATGCATCAGCTGGACAATGACAAAGGATGATAAGGAAGAATCGATGCCTTTGAGTTGTGGTGTCGAGAAGCGTCTTGAACATACCATGGACTGCCAAAAGAACAAACAGATCCATCTTAAAGAGGATGAAACCAAGCCATTCCTTGGAGGTAAGAATTTTGAAGCTCTGTCTCACATAATTTGTGCGCATGGCCAAGAAGAACCAGCCCTTGGAGAAGGACATCTTGCTTGGAAAGGTGGAGGGACAGCATAGGAGAGGAAGACCCCAGAGGAGATGAACTGACAAGGTAACTAGGGTAAGAGACAGTAAGTTTGGCTCAGGACAGGACAGAGTTATGTGTCACAAGTGACTTGATAGTACATAACAACAACAGTCCAGCCTCTGAAATACTTTGCTCAGCATACAGACTGAATGAATATGGAGAAAGGATAAAGCCCTGATGCACACTTTTCCTGATTTTAAACCATGCAGTGTTCCCATGTTCTATTCACACAATTGCTTCTTGATGCATGTATAGGTTTCATATGAGCACACTTAAGTGTGGAACTCCTATTCTCAGTGTTAGCCATAATTTGTTGTGACCCACACAGTCCCATGTCTTTGCACAGTGAATAAAACATAAGTAAACAGATTTCTGGTATTCTCTGCTTTCAGCCAAAATCCATCCAACATAAGCAACGATATCCTTCTTTCTATGACCTTTTCTGAATCCAGCTTGAATTCCCTGCTGATTTACTGCCCCTACCATTGTGTTATAATCTTCAGCAACATTTTACTTATATGCAACACTAAGGCTATTATTTGCTAATTTTAACATTCTGTTAAATTGCCTTTGTCTTGGAATGAAAACAACTAGAGATTTCTTCCAGTTGGTTGTTTGACTAGATAGCAGTCTTCCAAATTTCTTGACATAGGTTTGGGAGTACATTCAGGACAGCTTCAGCTTGTTATGTTTCAATTGGTGTTCCATCAGTGCCATGCAATCTTGCTTTCAACACAATCTTGCTTTCAAAAAGTGAAGAAGAATTGTAACTCTTTACTGAAGAGGGAAAAACGACAGTCTTCATTATGGACTACATCTCAGCCTCAAGAAAATAAAATCCTCAACACTAGACCAACAGGCAACATCATGATAGGTAAAGAAAAGATTGAAGTTGTCAACGACGTTTTTTGCTTTAATCCACAATTAACACCCACGGAAGTTGCAGTCAAGAAATCAAAAGATGTGTTGCATTGGGAAAATCTTCTACCAAGACCTCTCTACAAAGTGCTAAAGAGCAAGGTTGTTAGCAAACTTTTAAAAATAGTTTAAGTAGTTAAAACAATAGTTTAAAAATGGAGCCATGGTATTTTCAATTGCTTCTTATACATCTGAAAGTTAGACAATGAACAAAGAAGACCAAAGAAAAAGTGATGTCTTTGAAGTGTAGTATTGATGAAGAGTTTTGAATCTACCTTGGATGGGAAAAAAAGAAAACTGTCTTGGAAGAATTGCAACCAGGTTGCTTCTTATAGACAAGGATGGTGAAACTTTGTTTTATATACTTTGGGCATGTGGTCAGGTGGGACAGTTCTTAGAAACAGACACCATATTAGGAAAGGTAGAGTGTCAATTAAAGAGGGATGGACCCTCAACGAGATAGATCAACATGGGTAATTTATCAATGAGCTCAAGTATGGCAGAGGTCATGAGGATGACACAGGATAGGGTAAATTTCAGATCTATTATTCTTAGCATAGTAATGAGTCATAGTTGATGATACTTAGAAACAACAATTTGCTGGTGGGTATGGTTCTATGACTAGGTTCTGGCCATTGGAATATGGGAGGAAATGGTGGACACCATGGCCAGACTTGCCCATACATGTCTCCTACACTATCTACAGCTTTCTTGCTCCATCTTTTAGCTGGTTGGAAATGATCTAGCAGAGGACTCAGGCCATAAGGGGCAGTGGAACCACAAAGTAGAATGCGCCTGGGTCCCTGAATCATCACGTGAATCACATGTGAGCAAAAAAATAAGCATTATGTGAGGTGTGGCAAGTGGCTTTTTCTTCCCTTTTTGGTTATGGAAAACTTTAAATGATGGTATGGAGTACTCATATACTCCACACTCTGTTTCTCCAATGATTAGCCTCCTATGTCAATGTGATAAATAATATATTTACTACAATGAATGAATTAGTATTGATGCATTATGATGAACTGAAGCCCACATTTATTTATATTTCCTTGGCTTTTATCAAACATCTTTTCTCTGTTCCAGGGTGCCATTCAGGATACTGCGTTACATTCAGTTGTCGTGTTTCTTTAGACTCTTCTTGACGGCAGCAATTTCTTAGGCTTTCTTTGGTTTTAAGGGCCTTGACAGCTTTGAAGAATGTTGATCAGGTGTTTCTGTAGAATGACTTACCATTGTAAATTACCTGAGCTTTCCCTGATAACACAAGGGTTACATACAGGTTGTTGGAAGGAAGAACACAATGGTAGGTCCTATGTTCATCATAAAAAATGGCGCAAGGTATGAATATGATTTAGGACCATTGGTGGTGACTTGACCACCTGGCCAAGGAAGTATTTGTCCATTTTCTCCACTGCTCTTTTTTACTGACCCCATACTGTATACTTTACACTTTTGAAGGAAGTGTATACACAACCTACACTTAAACAATGGGGAGGGACACTCCATCTCCTTATAGAGAGATTATCTATATAACCTTTTGGAATTCTTCTACATGGAATACTACTGACCTACCCCTCCCTATTCATTAATTCTTCTCATAATTATTTGTATCAACAAGTCCTCAGCAATGGAAGCAGTTTCTGATCAGATACTGACATAAAGGTTTAAAGTTCTAACCCAATCCAGGAGCTCCCAATATAGGAAAGTCCTGGCAATTGCTTCCATAAAGATTAGGTGGAGGTGGCGGGGGGGGGGAGGCAACAAAACAAAAACAAAAAACCACGCAGAATCATCATGACTCAGAATCAATGTGTCAGAAAATGGTTTGGTTCCAGTTATTTATGTGAATGTGTATTCAGGAATTGTTCTTTGATATTTTGTATTCTACTGTAACAGTGCTTTCTTTTTCTGCTTAAACTGTTGCAGCTTTAGCCAGTTCGAGTTCTTTCTTTTGGCTCTTGTCTTTCTTCGACATACCCCGCCGGGTTTTTAGGGTTGTTTTTGTTTGGGTTTGGCATTTCCTTTTCTTTCTGGCATTTCAAGATCTTCCATGCTCACTTTGTAGCATTCCTAAATCTGGTCTTAACGTCAGCCATTTCTGTAACAGCCTTGTTTCTTGTTATTGGAGAGTAATATTAACTGGATCTAGGCACTAGGTTTGCTTGCTGATATTGGAGCATCATTTCTTTTAGGCCTTCTCACCTGATAGTATAGAAATATACATGTTTATATGACCTTGTATATATAAACAGATCTATAAATATTTCTATATGTAACCATCTGTATCTGCATTAAGTTAAACTTGAATTCGTGCTAATATCTCCATCTCTACTTCCCTCCTCTGCCTGATTCATATACTCCCACTCCAGAAATATGGCTCTTTCCATCTGCCATCTACTTAATTATAGATTTCCATCTAGTGAATTCTTTTATTTGATATGCAGAAAGAATTGCTAACTCAACTGCTTGTGTTTTCTAAGGAATAATATCTTCTATCTCATATTTCTTCTAGAACTCCCTCTTCAAGAGGTAGAAGCTATGTCCTAATGTCCTGTGTCTCTGTGCTAAGTCTCTGAGCCCATCTCGATCAGGAATACAACAGGTGTCAGGACACTGGACTTCTGAGAGTGTTGTTAGCTACCATCAAGTTGTCTCCCATGCACAGGGACCCTATGCACAAATGAACAAGACTTTGCTCCAGTTTGTGCCGTCCTCACAATCTCTGCTGTGCTCACTGTTGCAGACAATTTGTCAACCCATCTTGTTGAAGGTCTTCCTCATTTTCACTGACCTTCTATTTTCCTGAAAACTATATCCTTCTTCAAAGACTGGCCCCTCCTGGTAACTTGCCCAAACTATGTGAGACAAAATTTCCCCTCCTTGCTTCTAAGAAACACTCTGATTATACTGCCACGATGAGTCTCTTTTTTTCTTTGCCAGTGTATGGCATATTCAATATTTTTCACTAGCATCACAAATTAAAGTCACATTTTTCTTCGTGCTTCCTTGTTTATTGTCCAATTTTCACATGCACCTAAAGCAATTTTTTTAAAAAAAATATACAACTTGGGACATCTTAATCTTTAAGTAGCACCCTTGTTCTTAAATATTGTAAATGGGTTCTTGGCATCAGATATGTCCAGTGCAATATGTCATTTGATTTCTTGACTGCTGCTTCAGAAACTCATTATCAAGTGCTGTCAATTCGGAATTGACTCATGGCTGAACCTACAGAAGGTTTTCAGAGGCTATAAATCACACAGGAGACTATCTTTCCATTGGAACCATCTACTTTTGAGTTGGGAGCACGACTCTTACCTGTTGGCCACCAGGTCTCCTGTTTCAGATACTAGTTGTTGTTGTTGTTGTTGTTATGTGACGTCCATAAAAAAAAAAATCTTACTTTTTTTGTCTTATGGTCTTGGTAAACTCATGTTTGGAACCTCAAAACGCTGTGAGGAAATCCAAACAACTTTGGGGAGGTCTAAGTGAGAATAATTAAGTCCTTCAGCTCACAGGCTCTACTGAGCTTACCCACCATATGCAAAAGCTGTCTTGTGAGTAGATTGTCAGTCCTCAGCTGAGTTGCCCAGTGGAAGGCATGCAGAGCAGAGACAAACCACTCCACCAAATGCCATTTAGATGGAAGACTAAAAAATGATTCCTATGGTTTTACTACTGTGTTTGGGAGTATTTTGTTATGTGTCAATAGGTAACTGACACGCTTAGGACATTGAGAGTTAAGGATTATTTTGGGATTTACTTGATGTGTGTTCTGGAACAAGCCAGATAATGCCTCTGAGATTCCCCATTTTCTCACCTAGAAAATGGGCTTCCATATATCTTGCAGAATTTACATGAAATTAAACAAGAGAATGTAGGTACTAGAAACTGGAGCACATGGAATAATGATGACATCAACTCACCAGTCAGTGGCATCCTTGGGGGTCCCTCGGCCACCCCAGCCACAATAGCAGCCATAGAAGCCATAGTTCACCAAGGCATTCTTTCCAGTCACCTTCTCAATCATCGCCTTCAGATCTAACCAGCCTCCTGGCACAGTGTGCACACCTGAAAGATAGCCGTGTCCTCAGGTGAAGTGCAGACTCCTCTAGACATACTTTTTATTCTTTTTTTTAGACATCCTTTCCCAGCATGCTCCTGCCCTTTCTCCTGCTCTGAACCTTGGAGGTACCCAGATGAACGAGGTAGGAAGGGCAAAGGGTAGAAGTGCAGAGAAGTGGTTAAGGATTGAGACATGTAAAATGAACAGACTTGAGGTCAAATCCTAACTCTACTGATAATTCACTATATGATGTTAAATAAATTTCTTAATCTCTCAAAACCTCAGCTACTTCATCTGAAAAATGAGATCTAAAACTTTCTACCTCTTGGAGTTGTCATGAGGTTGCTACTCAAAAACAACACATGTAAATGTTATCACAGCACAAGCCGTACAGTCAATGGTCAGAAAATCTTAAATTTGTCAGCAGGCTGCCTGTAGGAAGCAGGAAGCCAGTGTTCTCCACTTTCTTTCTCTGCTGATGATACATCCCTCCCCTCCTTCCCCAAAATCCATAGTCATAGAAACTTAAGGCAGAAGGGAAAGATCACCACAACTTCTTCATTTTTTACATTGAGAAACTGAGGTTTGGCAAAGAAAGTTGCCTTGTCCAGGGTTTCACAGTGAGACTGTGGAAAATAAGCAATCTCAAGAAATCATGACTGCCTCTGAAGATCCTTGAGGGCAAACTCTTCTTCTCCCTCTACCTTCCCTCTCTACCCCCTCCTCCTCCTCCCTCCCTCCCCTCCTTCCTTCTCTCTCCCCTCTCCTTTCCTGTCCTCCCCCTCCCCTTCTCTCTTCTCTCCCCCTCCCCCTTTCCTTCCCTTCCTCCTCCCCTCCCCCCTCCTTCCCCCCCTTTCCCTATACTTCCTCTCCTCCTCCTCCTCTCCCTTCTCCTTCCTCTACTGTTTGTTATTTCATATCATCAAGTTGGAACTGACTCAAGCTGACCCTCCAGCAGATTTTCAGACAGAGTTAATCACACAGGAGGAGAGACTGCTCATTTTTTATCTGTGGAACAGTCAGAGGATTCAAACCATGTACCTTTGCACTGGCAGTGCAACTCCTTACCATTAAGCCACCAGAGTTCCCGCTACTAATATACCATCCCCATTTTACAAAGAGAAGCTGAGTCACTTGTTCAAGTTTACTTAAATAGGATGTGGTAGAGCTGGCATTCCCACCAGGCAGTCAGGTTACAGAGTCCACCACCCGATCTCTGCACTAGCCTCTAGGTGAGGTTGCTGTGTGTGGAGCATGGGGTGTGCCAGCCCCTTCTTTTATCCATGGTGGGGCGGGTATCTCCTGGTTCCTATCATTTCATGACCAGAGAGTCTCCAGGGACCTGGCAGCACAGCAGAGAGGACAGCCTGTCGAGGGGCTGTGCTCATGGACTGCAGGGATCTGCTCCCCAATGTTGTATAATTATTTCCCAGCTGGCATGTGGCAGCAGTAGGGTGTGTAGGAGGCCTAGACAAGCCTGAGCAGTGGATTTAGAAGTCTTGGTTCATTTGTTATTTTCTTAAATGGCATTTTATCCTACATCAAAGTAAAAATAAATAAATAAATAAATCTAGCTCCTACATGTTCAAACCACTTACCTTCCACGGACACAGCCGGAATACGCTGTCTCGTGAAATTCTGCCCCAATATCACCAATTCCATGTTATTTCCCCATATAACAGACCGAGATACTGAGGTTTAGAGAGGAGAAGGTTTTTGCTGACATCTATATAGTTAATAAGTAGAAGGAAGATTCAAACTCAAGTCTCTGCTACTTCAGAAATTGATCTCATTTCCATTACCTTGTTACCCGTGCTAGGTGGAAAGTCATAAATTTAGAGATCACAGGGCAGCACTTACAAGTCAGGAAACAAGCCAGCAGGAGAAGGGCCTTCATCTCTGGGGTCCTAGAAAAGAAAACACATCCCTGTTACTCTCCTCCTAGAACTCCTTTGTACTCCAGTCCTGACTTCCCACCGGAACCCAAGTCATTCTGCTGGACACCAATCCAGGTGCCAAAAGACCAGAACATTATCAAAGTGTCTGTGGGGATCTCCATCTTCAAAGGGGCAAGACAGAACTTTCCTATCAGCAGGGCATCTGACCTGCAAATGCTCAGAACTACTTGACTCTCAGAGAAAATGGCAAAACATAGCCAGGGGAATTAAGAAAACCCATCAAAGCAGATTTGGTCATCCAAGTGGAAGGACAGAAATGTGCATAAGCCAGATGGGCCTTTAGTAGAGGCAGGAACCCAGCAATGACAAAGAACCCAGGACTGACACACAGCGGGAGCAGAGGCGGGAGGGGAGAAGGAAAGGAGTGTCTGCATCTGTGGCTTCTGGCTGTCTAGCTGGCTCTGACTTAAGGTGACTTTATGTGTAACGTGGCCAGGCCCCAGTCCGTCCCCATGACCGCTGGTGTGGGTGAGTCCATTGTTGTGATGACTGGCTTAGTTCATTCCATAGAGGGTGCTATCGTGCTTGTTACTGCTCACTGAACCTTTCGCTTTGCCCCTCACTGTACCCTCACAACACCCCTCACCATGACCACACTCGCCTGCTCCTCTATGATCCCCGCCCCGTTCCTTCATTTCATTCTCATGCAGCCTTCACTACTCCTCTCACAGTACCCTTCTCCACACCCTTCACTGTGCCCATACTGTACCCCTCACTGTTCCTCTCACTTCATCCTTCACTGTACCCCCACTCTGCTCCTCACTGGACTCCACCTTTGGTCCCTCATTGCTACTCCTTTCTCTATACCCTCACAGCATCCATCATTGTACCGCTCACTCAGCCTCTCACTGTCCCCTCACAATGCCCTTCACTGTTCCACTCACCTTGACTCTCAATGCACCCTCACTGTACCCCTCACTCTGCCCTCACTGTACCCCTCACTCTGCCCTCACTGTACCCCTCAATGTGCCCTTACTGTGCCCCTCACTGTACCCCTCACTGTGCCCTCACTGTACCCCTCACTGTACCCCCTCACTGTGCCCTCACTGTACCTCCTCACTCTGTCCCTCACTGTGCCCTCACTGTACCCCCTCACTCTGTCCCTTACTGTGTTCTCATTGCACCCTCATTGCAGCCTCATTTCACCCTCATTGTATTCCTCACTGTGCCCCTCACTGCAGCCTCACTGTGCTCCTCACTGCACCTTCATTTCACCTTAACTGTACCCCTCACTGTGCCCTCACTGTACCCCTCACTGTGTCCCTCACTGTGTTTTTACTATACCCCTCACTGCACCCTCATTTCATGTTA